ACATGCTTCGGAGATTTGGTGCGCACGTCCTCTCGGGCTGGGAATGGCTCGGACTGAACATGCTGGATTAGGGTTCGAAGGACTTCCGTCTACGACTTTCGTCGAAGGACTTGAGTTCTTAGCCTCTGCAACCCTTGAGCCGCCGGGTCAGCGTAGGCGTTCTCCTGTCAAAGCTTCATGCTTGGAGGCCTTCAAAATCTCCACTTCAACAGGATGAACTTTGCAACGAGGTTTGCGGCAGTATTCCGAAGCCTTCTGAGACCTTCCCGGGATCACTTCCCACATTGCAACTGTTTTCACATCGAGCCCAGTCCGAAGTTCACCTGAGATGTGTGCTTAGAGGGTCCTCGAGCCTTTGAGCCAGGCGGCTGGATCGTTTGAGCTGACACCGGAGGACCGGCGGGTGCCCGCAATTTGTTCCACATCGGTCATCCGGGCTTCTAGCTACCGTCGAGTGGGCTCACCAGGGTGTGCCTGCGGCTGCAATCTGAGCAGCTTGTGCTTTGAAGGGAAGGTTCCGGGAAGGAACCGGGAAAGCTGACATCGTCGGTCAGAGCACAGAGGTAGAGGGGCTGAAGCACAAAAGGTTCAAGGCAAGGGGGGTGAAGCATGCGCAAGCATTAGGTGTGGGGAAAATGCGGAGTCCGCAGATCCCGAGCTTGGCAGCACGGTGCTCTTATGCTGTCACATGCTCCTGATACCCGAGCCTAGTCTCGCTTGCCCCATTCGCGGCTGTAGCGATAGACCCTTCGGCCGGAGACTGTCTTGATGCCATTGCTCTCCGCACGATGCGCGGCTAGCTCCTGATCCGCAGGGCTACGCCGAAATCTTGACGACCAATTCCCCGGAGAAAAAGGAGGCAGGGCGCGGGAACCTTTACGGCGACTACAGCACATTGTGTCGTTGCATGTCTGGTCTTCAGGCTTCAAGGATGTCGTCCTGAGATGGTCCTCCCGACATTGTCCATACCCTTTTCATGTGACCCATGCAGGGCAAAGAGGACGTGCCCTAGTTTTCAACCTAATTGCGCTACTGCTTTTGTACGCCTCACCCTTCGACACCGAGCCTCGGGGAGAGCATGAGTCATCAGAGAGCGGGAGAGGAGCACCCGGGGACAACTACAGTATGATGAATGTGAACCCCATAAAGATGTGCATAGATATGCACCGGCTGGCAAGCTGGATGTTGCAATGTCGAGTCAAGAACCAGTAGTAGCAGGTCAGGGCATGCGGCAGTGGTCGATTGCTGACGTCAGTTGAAGTCACGATTGAAATGAGAGGAATTCATCGAAACTGTCGTGACCCAGCAACTCCACGGCTTCGTTACGAGTCGGCGGCTAAGACTACACCGCAGGAGACTTCACGGCTTTTGTTCACTCCCCCTAGCTATGCGATAGTACATGTTTGGGTACAGGCCAGGATGACAAAAGTTTGATGTAGGCACACAGTGCCATACACATTCGGAACACTTGGTGAGAACTTGCGACGAGCAGTGTCTGTGGCAATCCAAAGTCCTTGTAGGAATCAGTGCAGACTTAACAGGGAACAGGGGCACGCACTGGCGCTGTGAGATCAATTCTGTCGAGGCGATGCAGGGCTCAAGAGCTTCGCGGAGACCGTGCCCTGGCAGGTATTAGTGGGGCTAATCGCTTCATTCATCGTAATATCAAGCCCCCTCTAAGCAGAGCAGTTGCGCGGCTGTTGATTTGCGGCCTGAGGGAGCGGAAACCACTACTACTACTACTACTACTACTACTACTCCTGCTGCTGCTGCTGCTACTACTACTACTACTACTACTCCTACTACTACTACTTCTACCCCTGCTGCTACTGCTACTATTACTATCACTGCTACCACTGCTGCTACTGCTACTTTTGCTACTATCAGTACCACTACTGCTGCTGCTGCTGCTGCTGCTGCTACTACCACTACTACTACTACTACTACTACTACTACTACTACTATCATCACTACTACGACTACACCTACGACTACTCCTACTCCTACTCCTACTCCTACTCCTACTACTACTACTGCTCCTGCTACTACTGCTCCTACTACTACTACTACTACTACTACTACTACTACTATCATCACTACTACGACTACACCTACTCCTACTCCTACTCCTACTCCTACTCCTACTCCTATCCCTACTCCTACT